AAGAACCTGGTCCCCGAGTAAGGCTATGTCTTGACTTTTTTAAAGTTGGACCCCTAGATATCATTTACGAGATCGAGTCCCTGTATCCTGTGGGATAAACGCCTTATGCTAGCCTTCTATGGACTCGCCCACCTGTCAAAATCTCCTTAGTAGCCCACCGGGGCATTGACAGCTGCATGGCCGTAGGGCCGTCCCGCCCGGGTCCCACATCCGTGATTACAGCCGATGGGATATCTTGACCCTGCATCGAAAGAATTGATATATCACTTTGACAGCGAGTTTTCTCTCGTTTTATACCGCTTGATGGCATGTATAGAGATTCTTTCATATCCACCAAGAGCCAAAGACCTTTCAGTCTTGGTCATTCCCTAAGGCAATGGTGCATTTCTGACTGTCTGCCATACTGACCTTCCTCTTCCATCGCATCGATTTGAGCGAGAATTTGCTAATCAAGTCGTACGATGGTCCGAATGTGATGGTTTCAACAAGTAGCTTCGTCTTGGCGGCCTCTCGAGTCTCATCAGGCAGTTGGCGAGAGCGACACTCAGATTGATGTGTCAAGATCGTGAGGAGGGGCTATCAAGCCTCATCTTCGGAGCGACTGAATCCAGAAAGAACACGAGTCATTGTCACAGAGACCTGTATTCGGATGTTTCATGGAGTCTGTCTGAACACTGATCGTGGACCTTCGTAGAGAGCCAGACTGACCTCAAGCTGCCTCTGGGAAATCTATAAAGACATACTCTTTCCTCCCTCAGTCAAGAAATTCTAGACGCCAACACATCATCCTCTCATCTCACAACCCAAACAACCTACAACAACCAAAACCCAACTCTCCAATCAAGGAACCCTCTTACCAACCATCAGTAAGCGGCTTTCCTCTAATCATCCAAGAGTCCCAACAACTAACTCGAGCACAGAAATGAAGACCTCCGCCATCATCGCCGTCGCCGCCCAGGCCGCCGCCGTCTTTGCCAACTGCAGCGTTCAGGTTCTTGACGCCAACAACTTCCAGATCGGCACCGCCTGCATCCCCAAGGGTGGTCAGGGCTCCGTCCGCTACAACGGCGGCAGCTACTTCATCACCGCCACCTCCAGCTGCGGCCTCGGCTTCGTCAGCACCCAAACTCACCCCGCTGGCTGGCAGCTCAAGCTCCTCGGCAACTGCTAAGTTGAACATGCCGAGTCACACAACAAGCGGTGCCTGGCTGTGCCTTGGTAACGAATATGGCGCAGCTTCGACGGCCTAGGGGATAGCACCAATATTGGCGAGAAAAGGGGGGGTTTTACAGGGAGTGGCAATACGGTGGATAGATAGTCCTTACTTGGGTAGACTACGACTCTCAATGCTCATTGAATTACCTGCCAGTATCTGCTTCTTCTTCTTTCCTAGACACAGTGAATATGAGTGGGTAAATGTGTTTCAAGAATCAACATCATTGGGAGTGCAAACAGTTAAATAGTTTTCTGGCTACCCCATGTGCTATGTATGCATGGATGATGATGTGACTGTACGAATCTGAGAATCGCATGCCGAAAGCTTTTCTTATGAAAGTCCCTTGCTGCCCCTAAGATGCCAATGACTGAACACGTTAACGCTTCTTCTTTGCGCGTCTGACTTTGATGAAGTTGTCTAACAAATCCCTTCCCTAACTCATATTAGTGGCTGGATGATGTGCCTTTGCCATTGAGCCCACGGTTAACATGTACCTGGGCTTTTGCCGACCCGATTGCTGTCTTAATATAGACGAGAAGTTGGATTTATAAGCTCTGAGGTATCTTTTATGTCTCAGACTATTCCCTCTATTATCTATTAGATTGAGTATCACAGAACAGCAACAATATGTCAGTGGATTCAATTAGTTATATATTCTTCTTCGATTCAACTTCATTACATTCTCCAATTTTCGAATTATCTTCATCAAGACAAAAGCCAAAAGATAGGACGGATAGATTCAGAGAACAGATGGAAATGGATGTGCTGTCGTCATTCCTCAAATACTCAGTGGGGCATCGTCTTGCGAGGTGGGCACGTAGTCATTGATTAGGCTCTGGCCCCTAACCAACGACATCTACACCATTCTACAAGCGCTCTTACTAGTGTCAACTTGATTCATGAAGAGTAACTTCAGGCTTCGCGAAATAATTGACTCTCTAGACTAAGATTCTTTCCGTCATCTTATTGCCCATGTCACTGAGCTGTAGATCTTTGGGGTGTCGTTACACACTCCAAAGTGCCGGGAGGTGGCTGAGTGTGTGGCTTGCATTCCACCTGAACAACCCCGCAAAACCCCGCAAGTTTCTAAAGCATTTGAAGATGGTTATCGCTAGATAAGATGGGATCGGAAGAAACCTGGAGAGACACCGGACGAGACGCTCAAAGAGGGGAAATCCCGGTAGGCCGGTGCTGACTCGGTCAAGAGAGGAGCTGGACGGAAACCCGTCGGGCTTGGTTTCACGGGAAGGATGGTCGAGTAGGTGCAAGACGGGAGACGGTCGTACGATGGTGCTCACAATGAGGATTCTGTTTGCTGACATCGGGACAAACCGCCATCTGAGATGGAATGGGTCTGAATATGGGCAATAGGCGACGAACGGCTGCAAGCTGAAGCTGAACCGAGGGATAAAGTCAAGACCGACCAGATCAGAATAGGTGGGTGTTACAACAGGTCGGCGACTTCAGATGAGAAGACCAATGAAACCCTCCTCCCAAGGCGACGGGCCTCTTTTGGTGGTAAGGTTACAGTTTTGCTTCTGTTGCTGCGAACAAGAGAATGTATCTTCACTCTGACGTCGCCTTGATGCTACAGTACCTGATATTCCATACCGAAACCTGACCCAAGGGGCCAAGGACGGCGGGGGCAGTACGTCTTGTGACGTTTGGCGAACGAGGTTACACTAGGCGCCGCGGTAGGAGGATGGCTTTGTACTGTGTAGGTGTGTCGACCACGGATACGTGAAGGACCTAAGGGCGAGGGGAAGCGCAGCGTCTAAGACTACCTTCGGTGGGTAGCAGCCTCAAGGATTCCCGGAGCAAACATGGCGGGCCGCAAGCGACCTGTCATTCACGTTGACAAGATGAACTATCTCGGGGCGAGCGAACGGGTTCCTCAAAGGCACCCGATCAACAGAGTACAGTACAAGCGTGTACCAACCAAGGAGACCGACCAGGCTCGAATTGCAGAAACGTGGCTGCACCTGGAAATCCTGCGCAGCTGTGCCGCTGCGTAGTCTGCGTCTCTCCTGGCGTTTCGGTTCCAGATCTGCGTGACGCTGGTGAGCGTTACCCGGGGCCAGCGAATAGGATGGGATCTGAATCAAACGGGCTTTGAAATATCAGATCATGTACAAACAGCAAGGAGCAGGCACTGCAGCATCTTGGTTCATGGCACCTATGTGATGTGTGTGGGGATAACCTTTCGACAAGAAACTAACGGTTTTGGAGGGGAAGGAATCAGACTTTCAGAGTGACAGACAGCGCCGGATGCTTTCAGAGAAGCAAACTTCCCATAGGTAGATCCGGGGTGATGCTACCCAAGGCGACCAAGACGACGAGTCTGTTTAGTCAAAGAAGTACTTACTCCGTACGGATATGTCACGGCATATTTCGGATAGAAGAGGATTCGGGATGCAGACAGACTCGACAACTGAGAGAAATGACTGACGGGAAGAGGTGAGTGACACCTCTGTTGATTGACCTCGGATAAGATAAGATAAGCGGGGGATCTGAGTGGATGAAGGAAACGCCGGTCCTTGAGGTGGTCTTCCCTCCTGCCCCGACTTCCATTCCCAAGAAGCCGAGACCCCACAAGGTCGGCGTTGGTCGGTACATGTGGGTACGTATCTCCCTTCCCCTCACGCCGGGACAGGACCCGAGGGCAAAAGTCTCGAGACTTTGCGACCAAGTCCCTTACATGGACCTATGGCAGCCCGGTAATTACTCACAAGTGGATACAGGCTCGTGCACGCCAGCCGGTCGCCAGGCCCAACTTCCGGATTCCGGGATTGGCCGAACGGGGGAAAGGGCAGTCCTGCGACTCTACAGAGTTGCAGACTGCGAGACTTGAGTGCGTGAGTGTTCCCCCCCTTCCCTCAAGTGCCTCTCATCTGCCATCACCATTCCTTTTCCAGCCGACTCTTCCACTCGCCCCCTGGCTCTTCCACCCCTCCCACATCCAGTTTGGCGGGCCACAAGTGAGTCGACGTCAGGATTTCTCTCACACAAACCTGCATCCGATGCCTACTCGACCACCCTCCCCCACTGCGACTTGACTCGACAGTCCAGAGCCAGAGACCAGGGCACTCGCGAAGCACTCCGACGCACGCCGCTTTCTTCCCGACATACAGCATCATCCCGCAGCGAAGACTCAGTCAGCCAACTTCCCCATCCCATCCATCCCGCCCGTATCGCACTTGCGCTGCAAGCCTGCACCTCCACGCCGATCATTCATCCGAGTCCACACCAAGGCGCTTCCGCGATCGAAATACCGCGCGCAGGATCGAGACTGCCTCTTCACCCCGCCAAACACCATATATCACCCACGATAACGACTCTTCCGCTGCCATCGCTACTCGTTCCCGGGAGCGACGTTTCTACATACACACTGACGAGCCGACAAACAACGGAATCTCGAGTCTGAGTGGCCCCCCTCGCCTCGCTGCGGCTCCTCATTTCTCTTCCCCGTGCGAAACCGTCTTGCAGCGCAAGCTTGGACGTCTTGCCCCAGGATCGACCCGGCTCGGGCACGGATGACAGCATAAACCCCAGCAACCTGGAAGAATATCATACCAGACAATAGGGGTCCCCAACCGAAGCGCTTGCTTTTTTACCCTTTCGTCGGCGGAACCTACCCGTCACGTCTTACGTCTAAACACGGCAATCTCCTCACTCTTCTGCAACGACATACGCACAACCGGGTGCGGCTTAGATCTACACATTAACGGATACCGCCACAATACCGCAAAGGCGACCGATGACATCGCGGTCCGATACACTCACGATGCCTTCTCAGCGACCTTTCTTCCTCTCCACCTTCTTCAACTCCTTTAGACAACAGTCTCCCTCGGCGACGGCGCTATCATCGCAACAACCGAATAAGCATACCACGCAGACATCATCGTCATCGTACGCCACACAGTCTGCCGCTTCAGCGCCACGAGCCATCTCCTCGAGTACATCACCAAGTAGCGGCGGAAACAACGCCAACGCCAACTCGACGACCCGGTCGACATCAGGAGTCGTGAATCAATACCCACTACACTCCCCGCGGGGTGGCATCCCCATTCCCGGCAGCGCGAACCGAAGACGTGGTAGCGACAGCAGCAGCGAAGGATTCCGCGATGTATTAGGTGCCGATAAGTGGTACATCGGAGGACGGACCGCCGGCGGCGAGGAAAAATTCTTCAAGCTGGGTGTTGTCAGGAGGGTGCGCAGTAACGACGGCCTGAGCCTGGATCGACTGAGTTTATAGAGGGGAAGGACCGCGGCGACGGCGATGATGATGACGACGGATGACGGCGACACGGGCGATCGTAAGAATGATCAGACATGACGAGGGCTTTCGAACATGAAATGGGTATATAGGCGGAACTTGGGGAATTGGCATCATCTATGAGCCCCCTTTAACGATACATCCGGGATGGGAACACATCGAACAAACCCTCAGAATTATTGAGGTCACTGGCGTTTTGGAAGGGTTATGAATTTTCTTTTTCTGAAACAAATAGCAACCTGAAAAGGGCTTAGAGCACACGTGAGAGTGCAAGAGAAAAGCATCAAGTTGAGCAAAACAAATGGACAAGAGGTTACTTTTACATTTTTTCTACCTCAGTTCTTGTCCGTAACTCTTGAATGGCCAGCCACGAGGCAATGATCCTCTTACGCGAGGCAGTGATTCATCTACCACATGAACCGCTGCATCCGACCGTTTTCCAGTATCCTCCCGTCCTCTGCTCTCCACAGGTACGGCTTGGCGAGGAATATGTACATTGTGACCAAGTTGACAAGCACGAACCAGAGAGTCTCTAGCACAAGTCGCACATCAAACTTCTCTCCGAATTTGACCAGCGAGCGCAGAATAGGTAGCTTCTCGGCCTTGGAAATGACCGGGTGTGTGGCGGCGTGGTCGTGGAGTCTCCACGCCGGGACGAGGATGCGCCAGAAAACCCAGGGGAGGATGAAGTAGCGCGGTTCGACGAGGGGGGCCGTCATGAGCGAGAGGGTCGTTGCGAGGAGGAGGAGGATTGCGGTCGATGAGGCGGTGGGTTCTGTGGTGTAGGATGTCTGGTCCGCGAGTGTGATGATGGCGTAGGGGTTGTGGCGGTCCTTGGTTTCTTTTCCTTCTGCGCCTGTGACGGCCTCGGAGTCGTCCAGAAGTTCTGTAGCAGGGGGTTTTCCGTCGCGGTACGGGGTTGCGGCGCTAAAGGGGTTATTCTGCCATGGCCCGGGACGGAGCGCGGTGTATCGCCCGGAGCAATCAGCAGTGTGGTCCGAGAGGAACCCGCCTTGGCCGCAGCCGGCGAGGGCGTCCCAGCATAGCCAGCGGGCGAGGGTGTAGGGGATGATGAGGTAGTAGCGGAACAGGCCCGGACGGCGGATGGTGTAGCGGAAGACGTAGAACATGTAGTGCCTGTTGTCTGCGAGGGTGAAGGGGTGGATGATGGTGTTGAACCTGACGACGAGGAGGGTGAGGAGGAGAAGGGCGGGTGTTAGGAGGACGTGGTAAAGTTTGGATCCGATGACTTTCTGGAGGGTGATGAGGAAGAGAGAGGTTGAGTGGGTGGTTGCTGAGGTGTGTTGCTCGGTAGAGTCCTGATTTTGCAGTTTCTGTTTCTTTGAGGAGCTGTCTTGAGCAGGTCCGCTGAGAGCGTGCTTGCGGCCGTGTGTGCTGCTATCGGAGTCTGCGGGACTGACTATGCTCGTCTCGAAGGTGGTACGGTAGAGACCATGAACGAAACGGAGGACCCCGATGGCTGAAGGTAGGAAGAGGGGGAAAGAAAAGAAGGCGAAGAGAGGCCAGATGTAGAGCATTTGAGCGAGGTGGATTGTCGCGACATGGTTGGACTTGTCGCCTGACGACATGTTAGTCCTTGTATCAAGTAGAGTTAAGGGGTGGAATATACCGAGCACGACGCCGCCATTCCAGGCAACGAAGCCGGCGAAAAGGGCCATGATGGTGATGTGCGGATAGACCTTCTTCAATACGCGAAGAGGATTTGCCAGAGCTGCGACGCTGATGCTTAGGGCAGAGAAGAACAAGTCTGGCTGTGTTAGTAGAATCCCTTACAGTCGTGGGTGAGCAGACTCACCATCTGGCCACGCAGTATTGAGAGGCGGATCGTGAACGTCTCCAACTGAGTATCTCCACGCGTAGAATTTCACAGCCTCGCCGACTGTCTTCATGCTGGGCTTAGCCACCGGATCAGGGCGAAGAGCTTTGACAGTGGCGACTGCTTCCAAGCCGCCCATGTACACGACCACCCAAAAGACATTGGTCTGTCTCATGACGAGTGTCAAGACGCCGAGGATGATTGTGGTCCAGTCACTCAGGAAAGAACTGCGCTCCTCGCGGACGCGGTGGAGGTGGTGATAGTAGGCAACAAGGACCGACAAGGTCGAGACGACGTCGGTGTAGTACAGACCGGAGAAGAAGAAGAGCACAGGAAAGAGGGCAATATTCCAGCCCAGGTGAATCGAGTGAAAGGAGAGCACTGCTGGGGGTGCTGGGGACTTAGCGTCGGGGCGGCGAGTCTCGAGGAGGTGGCGGCAGTGAGTTGCGAGGATGCCGACGCCGAGGACGGCGATGATGTTGACGCCGCGGAGATCGAGGACGGAGCAGCCTGGTCTCATCATCACTTGTAGGTAGTACTTGGATAAAATGTACCTGGGCGATTTGTTAGCTCGGCAGAATGATGGCTTCAAGGGTAATTGCGACTTACAAGCCGGGAGGGGTAGTAATCTTGTCATCCCACTCGTTCCATTTTCCCTGACAGAACTTCTGGGCTTGAGGAATATGAAAGATCTCATCCTGTTTCTTATTATTATGCTGGAATGCTATCGATTTGGGATATGGAAACTGAGCTCACCAGGTATGGCTTGTCGACTTGGGCCATAACATTACTGCACCAGATCCAGCCGAGAATGAAGATGATGATGTACGACACGCGCATGAGCACATCGTAAATCTTGTTTGTCTTGGGGCCCGAAGGGTCAGAGTTGGGCATCTTGGGGGTGATGAGCCATAGTAGAGAGTAAAGAACGACGACGGACAGAATATTGAGTCCGTCGACAAAGGCTTCGACGGCCTTCATCTTCAATGAGAGATGCCCAGAGGGCGGATGAGATTGAAGGGATTGGCTGAAGTCTTTTTGTCAGTATTGTTGAGATGTAGCCACTCAAGATATGGAAAGAGGGAAGGACGCAATTGAACTAAAAAGAGTGTCAGAAAGGAAAAAGACGACTGTGCCTTGACCTGGGGAACAATGAGTGTTATCTGCGACAACGAACGCTCTCTTACACAGACAAGTGAGGTGGAAGAAAGTGAACAGTTCATCAATTGGCGAGGGTGCAGCAATTACGCGTCTTCGCACTGTTTGCGCACGGCCCACGGCCCAGTGCTTAAGCTACTGGTTCAAGAAAGGGGCAGTTCAACTCCTTGACAAAACTACTTTTGGCAATGATGTAGTTTGAGATGATATGTAGCAAGCACACCGCATAGGGAACTTAGGTTTACTCAGTTTTCGAATCACTGCCTTATTCAAACACATCAACTAAAGTCAAAAAGAGTCTATTGTATCTTTTATACAAGCCCCGAAGGGTGGACAGCCCTCCATCCCAACACCTCATTCAACCATGCTCACCACATTTTCAGCATTAGAAAAGCACAGCCGGGTCATGAAAGGCATTTAGAATGGCTATTTGTCGAAGGTTAGCATGCTACCTTTGCAGTATACGATTCGAGGAAGGCTCACGTTGTCAGAGGCAGGGGGGACCTCCTTGAGGAACTTAGGGCCAACAATGGGGATCTTCTATAGAGGGTGTCAGTTATCAGGTGAGTCCACTCCGGAGACGCAGTCCGCCTTACAACAAGGATGTCGTTCTGGATTCTCGGGATGCCAGAGGTGTAAAAGAGGGCGGCAACACCGGCGGCAGCGCCGAAACCAGCAGCGCGGGTTCCGCTAGCACAACAAGTCAGTCAATCCATTCCGAGTCTTCCAACTGTGTTCAATTCCATCTTGTGGCGGCATCCGATCTCTCTCCGTCGCCTCATGCCAGCATTTGTAACGTTATGTCGGCGGAACAGTGGTAACGGCAGTATGGACTTCGTGGGCCGAGGCTTGGGATCGCGATATTGAACGCCGTACGAAGAGTCTCAATGGCAACTCACAGCTTAACGACGGAGGCAATGGTCCAGCCACCAACGTTGGGGATGGTGTTGTACCTAGATTCAATCAGTCAGCCCACAATTCTTTCGGTCCGTTGCTCGTTGCGTGAAGTTTGTCTCGCGGTCTCGGGGATTTGAGGGCACTCGAAGAGCCGCAGTCGAGAGGGATCGATCGTATGGAAATCTTAAAACGTACTTGGGGCCGAACTTGCTGCGGAAGGCAGGGTACAGAGTACCGACGCGGGCCTGCATTGCAACTTTTGTCAGTATGCTGTCATGTCTGACTGGCCTTAGAAGCGTAAAGCAAGGGCATGGGAGCCCAGGGAGCAGTTTGACTTACGGGAGAAGGCATCTTGAACGTGATGGTCGTGCGAACGAACTGTGGGGTATTCAATTGCAGATGCAAAAGAGTGAGGTCGTGAAAGAATGGTGATGTTGCGCGAGTTTCTTAGCGGGAAAAGCCGGCCGGATTTCCAATGCGCCTCAGGCTACAGGCTGGGCGCGAACATTGAATCCTGGAGCCAATAGGCGTGCAGCCTCTGGTGGGCCCACAGTACGGTCTAGCGGAACTCAACTCAGCCTTGCACCCAAATCCTCTCCAACACACCACCAGCTCAGCCAGCGATCTCGGCCAATCGACAACTTCCAACCGCAACCATGGACAAGATTATTGACGCGCGCTTTGAACGCGTTGAAAAGGCTCTTGCGGTTCTGATTGAGTCGGTATCCAAGTATCATCCCCACGCCAAACAGGCATTGGACCTACGCGAAGCAGACCATGACCTCACAAAAGGCCTCGACGAGGGTAAGCTTACCTCCGACACAAGCTCCCTAGGCGACCAAGCTAACCCCACGATCGCAGTTCAAATCCATCAAAACAACAACCTTCGCCTGCAGCAACTCCGAGCGACAACCGCCTCCCTCAACACGCAGATCAGGGAGACCCTTTCCAGTCTAGCAACAACACGCAAGGACATCACCACGACCCAAATCACCGTCCACCCGGACGGGCCCAACTACCCCGTGAAATATGACGAGCTCCTTAACTATGCCCGCCGAATCAGCAAAACCACCCTCCCGCCCGCCGC